AGTCATGTTTATTGTCCACCTCAACACATGACAAATCTGAACTTGAGTGCAGCTGAACCATCGTACAGGAAAGCATGGATAGCTAGGACTAAGACAGTTGAAACAATGTTTGGAAATTGGGAGGAGTCGTACAAAGAACTTCCCAAATATTTAGTGGCACTTAAATAATATGCTCCAAGGACTATTGCCAATTTGGAGACCTTGTTGGCATATACCCCAAACGAGACTTGTGCTAGTGGAAATGACATATTCCATCGATTCTTCTAGGCGTTTAAACCATGTATCAAAGGTTTTGCCTACTATAAATCTATTATACAAATTGATGGGACATGGTTATACGGTAAATATAAAGGAACGTTACTCAAGGCAGTGACACAAGATGGCAACAACAACATTTTTCTAATCTTCTTCGTTCGAGTTGAAGGGAAGACTGATGGAGGTTAGAGTTTTCTACTAAAAAAATTCGATTACATGTGGCTCTTTAACCTAACTTATGTTTGATTTCGAACAGACATGCATCAATCAATAGTGCATATAAGAATCTTGATAATGGTTGGCAGGATCCTCCTTCAACACATGTCTACTGCATTAGACACATCGCTCAAAATTTCATGTGGGAGATCAAAGACAAGACGCTGCAGAAAAAGGTTGTGAATGCAGGGTATGCATTAACAAAACCTTCCTTCAAACACTACCGTGAAGAAATCAGATTTACAAATGCAGATGCATTAAGATGGATCGACAATATTCAATTGGAGAAGTGTACCAGGGCATACGACAATGGTCAACGATGAGACCACATGACAATAAATCTCGTGGAATCAATGAACTTTGTATTCAAAGGCGTCTGAAACTTACCAATAACCTCTTTAGTAAGGGCAACATATTTTAGGCTCGGGACACTTTTTGATATCAGAAGTTTAAAATGGAGTTCTGTCTTACAATTTGGACATTTATTTAGTAGTAGTTCAATGAAATTCATTAAGGAGGAAACTTCCAAAGTTAACACACATGTGGTCACAATATTTTACTACAATAAAGATTGATTCAGTGTTGATGAGTCAATGGATCACAATGAAGGGAGGTCGAAGGGATCATACCAAGTGGAACTAGATAGAAGTTGGTGCGACTGCAGAAAGTTTCAAGCCTTTCGTATTCCTTGCTCCCATGTCATAGCAGCATGTTCAAAGGCTTGTCAGGACCCTTCTAACTTATTGTCCGTTGTTTACCAAGTCATTAGTCTATGCAATGTCTACAACACTAGATTTCCGATGGTGGCCAAAGAGGACTATTGGCATGCATATGAAGGGGAAATTGTCTGGCACAATAAAATTATGCGAAGAAAGAAAAAGGATCGCCCTAATAGCACGCGTATTCGAAGGAAATGGATATGGAAAATAAAATGGTAAGATTATGTAGTTCATGTCGTCAGTCGTAGCGCAATCGTACAAAACGTCTCAATGTTGGACTAAGCACAACATCATAATTTTAAATGTAACATTTTCTCTTTATATCAACAACAACTTTCATTCCATAAATATCATAAGATTCAATAACAATAATTTAAAAACAACAAGTAACAATAATTTAAACAATTAAACAACAAAACAAACAAATACAACGACTAAACAACATAATTATGCTATTACAACCATCAGGACGATTTCCTAAGAACTATACATCAACATCTGAACATTTTTGTCAGTTGTAACATTCTCCCAGAAACGAAATTCTCCATTTTGGTTGAACGTGGTAACAAGTCTTTCAATTCTTCTGACCTTTTCACCCTCTGGAATGTCTTCATCTAACCAGCAGTTCAGGATCCTGTTAAGATGTTTGAACGTCAGTGTATTTCAGAGGCGGTTCTTCATTGGAGGTTTGACTGGCGAGAAAATTAAATCGACATTTCTCTTGTGGATATATGGAACCTTATATAGATATGAGGAGGAAAAAGAGGAAGTCATTCTGAAAGGAAAAAGGAAAGATATTATTAAAATGGAAGGAGAAAATTGCGAGAAATAAAGAGAAGGTGGTGCAATATTTAACGGAAAACGCATAGTGTAGTAGTCATATAAAATGGTGCATACAAACATGGTTTTAAAAAATAAAAATAAAAGAGGATGTACCAATGGCGTATGAGTTATGTGTGAAAGGAGAGACACCATTTCATATGGCTTGATCTACATGTACAAGTCATTTCATATGACACGTGTAAAAAGATAAGAGTATGCTTCATTTCAAATAGCATATCTTTTCTATCCCATTTTAAAACTATCTTATTTTAGAAAATAACTTAAAAACATTGTTATTTTTATATTTAAATTGAAAAAAATAGATTATTTAAAAAAAAAAATCTCCATAATATCGTTGCACCTTTTGAAAATAAAAATATAAAAAAATAATTGGAATGATTAAAACCGTATTAAAATTTAATTAAAAATATTTTTAGTTGTAAATAGTTTAAAAAGCACATATTATGTGTGTCGGCTAGCCAAAGGGAGGAGACAAAACACTCTTGTGTGGTTTATATTTCATGTCGTTTTGTAGATGAAGAAGATAACGATGTTGAAGGACTCAACCACCCTCTTCATCAACACACTCCTTTTCTTCTTCTTCTTACAGTTTCAGAGCTTTCTTTCACTCTCAGATTCTTCAATATTCCCCAATGAAGCACTTCCTACAAAATCAGGTTACCTACCAATAACTCCCACCTCCACTTCCTCCATTTTCTACACATTCTATGAAGCACAAAACTCCACTTCACCTCTCTCACAAACCCCTCTTCTCATATGGCTTCAAGGTGGCCCTGGTTGCTCCTCCATGGTCGGCAACTTCTATGAACTTGGTCCCTATCTTGTCACCAACTCACTCACCCTTCAACCCAACCCTTCTTCTTGGAACAGAATCTTTGGTCTTCTTTTTCTTGATAACCCCATTGGAACTGGATTCAGTGTAGCTTCAACTCCAGAAGAGATTCCAAACGATCAAAACTCGGTAGCAGAACATCTTTTTGCTGCTATAACAAGGTTTGTTCAGCTTGATCATGTTTTCAAATATCGTCCTATTTATATCACTGGTGAAAGCTATGCTGGAAAGTATATTCCTGCAATTGGGTGTTACATATTAGAGAAAAACGCTGTTTTGGAAGAGTCTGAGAGAGTGAATTTAGCTGGTGTTGCAATTGGTAATGGACTAACAGATCCTGTGACCCAAATGGTTACTCATGCTGATAATGCTTATTATGTTGGATTAATCAATGAGAGACAAAAAAATGAGTTGAAAAAATTACAACTTGAAGCTGTTGAGTTGGTAGAGAGACGGGATTGGAGTGGAGCGACGCGTGCGAGAAACCATGTCTTGGATGTGTTGCAAAACATGACAGGGTTGGCTACTTTGTATGATTATTCGCGAAAAGCTCCGTATGAAGATGAATTGGTTGCTAAGTTCTTGAACATTGGTGCGGTGAGGAAGGCGTTAGGAGTGGAAGTTGATGAGTCGTTTGTTTATGAGAAATGCAGTAAGATTGTTTGGGCTGCATTGTATGCTGATTTAATGAAAAGTGTGAAGTATATGGTAGAGAAGTTGTTGAAGGAGGAGATGAGGGTTTTGCTGTACGAAGGTCAGCGCGATGTGCGAGTTGGTGTGGTTCAAGTTGAGGCTTGGGTGAAGAGTATGAAGTGGGAAGGGATTGAGGAGTTTGTGAATGGTGAGAGGGAGATTTGGAAGGTTAATGGAGACGTAGCTGGTTATGTACAGAAATGGAAGTCATTTACCAATGTTGTGGTTTTGGGGGGTGGACATCTTTTGCCTAGTGATCAACCTTTGAATTCGCAAGTGATGATTGAAGATTGGGTTTTGGAAAAGGGTTTGTTTGGAAGTGTGTTGGAACGAAATGTATCCACAAATTCTGTGTATGATGGTTGATGATGTTGAACTATTTGTTACTCAACTTGACCTTGATGTTAATTTCTTCATCTGCAAGAAATAAAACCAGTTTAGATGCTAAACTCTATTATTAATCAGAGATCTGAATTTTATGTATAAAAAAAGATTTCTTAATGCGTAATTTAGCTGGATCACTAGATGATTGATTATGTACATGAATACAAAGAATGTGTGAAACCAGGAGTACTAACTAATAATATTATTTAAGAGGTGACAAGCTTGATCCATTCTATATACCTTATCCTAGAACTCCTTCAACTTAAAGCAGATTATGAAGTTAGTTGGTTCTAGTAGTAGCATGTCACTGACCATTGCAGAGGCAGTAGCAATGAATCATCATCATTTTTGTAAACTTTGTGACAAGTTTAGCAAGCATTTGAATGCATCTGATGTGTTATAGTCAGGGTTCTTGTGGTGCAACATATCGTTCGTTTCTCCTCGTTGGAAATCAATTGTTACTTAATCGGTAATGCATTTTGGTTAAAATGATAATAAAACTGAATAATGATAACCAGCTCAACCAAAGAAAACTAGGTTAAAGAGAAACTTAATAAACCTTACACTTTCGCAAACAAATTTGTAGATTAAAGCTCATCATAATGAGGCAACCATTAGTCAAGCTTACAAAATGTCTGAAACACTTGTGATTAATCTCAATAGGAGGAAGCAATTTCAATGGCATAACATTAAATTGATAAAGGAAAAATACGTTTTATGAGATTCAAAATATGGTTGATAAAATGTCTGAAACAGTTTTATGATTAATCTCAATAGGAGGAAGCAATTTCAATGGCATAACATTAAATTGTTAAAGGAAAAATACGCTATATGAGATTCATAATATGGTTGATAAGCAAAGACTCGTAACATATTAAAGAACTTCATTAAAAGTACCAAATATAAATTATCAAAAATATAGGTTCCTCTCAAGAACAAAGCAAGCATGAGAACAACAATATACTTTGTCTACACGAATTCAAAACTTTTAAAAACAACGAAATTGAATTTGTGACATAACACTAATCCAACTCGACCAAAACTCTTGAAATTTGCTTTTAAGTGCGGACAGGAGCTCCTCCGGCTACGGCAGGGCGAGGCGCTTGACCAGGCTGACCAGGCCTTGGTGCATCATCCTTTAAAAAAGAAACAGATAAATTCGTTAACACCAACAAGTAAAATAAGTACACAGTTTATAACCACACAAAAAAAAAGACAGATCATTAATTTCCAATAATCCACATGAACAAAATCTAAGACTTTGGATCAGGATGTGGGTTTCAACAGAGGCAAGGGAAGAACATAAATGGATATTTGGTTATAGATTCTAACATGTATGAATGGGGTAGGAGATAAGCCCTTCCACCATACAAACACTAAGTAAAGAAAACTAGAGTGAACTATTAAAGAGCCATCCTATTCATAAACAGGCTTTCACACTCTGGGGAACAGACTATAACATTGAAAAGGCAAGAATCGTCAAAACAATTTGCAACTATGCTGCATAGCAAAGGCGTATAAAAGTAACCATAGTTTGAAATATCTAAATCACAATTGAGCTCTCATTTGTAAACTTAAAATCCAATCCTATTTTGATTATATTACAGCCTAATTCAGGTTGATTTGATTCTCACAAAATACATGTCTATAATTACAATTTCAAGGGCAATTCAATTAACAAAATAGATAACAAGAAAACAGATAATCATGAAACGAGTAATTACCCTGCGCCTGATGAAACGCTGAGGAGGGTCACGCTTCCTCCTATCAGTGCGAGATCTAACCCTCACAACATGAGAATGAATAGCACATGAAACACAGTACTGCATCTTCACATACAGCTTAGGAAGAGTGTATTCTACAAATCACATCACAACAACAGAAACAGTGAATCAATTTACTATGTATCAAAACCAAAATTATAAAAAACACAGAATCGATTCAAGCATTCAAACAATCAAAGAAGAATCATACGGTCATAGACACAAGCTTCCTGAACATCTCTAACAGCAGCCTGTTCAACAATGTTCCTCACAAGAAATCTCTTGATTGACTTATCCTTGGGACAGCATTTTCCACAGTTGGAGCATCGGATGAATTTCACGTGGCCACGGCCATGCTTGTTACGTCCTCCATTCCTACGCTTGAAAGTCTGCAAACAACAAATTGATACGTAGATTAAGAACTGAAAAGTCAATAGATCAATAGTAGAAATTACAGAGTAAGAATCAGGATCTGATGGAACTCGAACCATTGTTGAAGCTCAAGGTTGCTGTGATATCCTTCGCAGACAAAGGGTTCTTCAATGCCGCTAGGGTTTGTAGAATAAGAACGACGAATTTTGTTTATGTTATTTAATATATATAGATGGGTCAAAAGCCCAAAGCCTACAGCCCAGAAGTTTTAATTTACAGGCCTTATTTATGACAAACTCTTTATTACACCCTATACACTTCTAATACACCATGTGAATTTTTACATATGTTTTCAGATTTTGGAGATATATTAACGGACGTAACTTTTTCATATTTAACCAAGGCTATTCTGAGTTACGCCCCATACATTGGATTAGTTTTATTCCGACAATATATCTCTGAAACGTTTTAAGAAAAACATTTCAAGTATTTAGTTCAATGAATATTTCAGAGATACATCTCTGAAAAGTTTTATGGAAAACATTTTAATTGTTCATTTTAGTAGATATTTCGGAGATGAATCTCCGTAATTATGAGCGTCATTTTAAAATTTTCTGTCTCCTTTGCATGTCAGGTATTTTAGAAGATGCATCTCTGAAAATATTTGATATAACATTCAGCTGCATGATCAATTTTTCATTGTTGCCATACTTTATTCTCAACTAAATCCTCACCATAAAAATCTTTCATTCTCAATCCATCTTTTCACTTCAAATCTTCATCCTTTTGGTTCAACATATCATTGGGAGTAAAACAAGATAGAATTTCAGGTAAAGATTGTTCTTTTTCCTCTACATTGCTCACATTAATCATCAATTTTTTTTTTTGAAAAAACATATGTTGTATTCAGAAATGTATCTTCAGAACATGTATGAACTTGTTTAGAGATGCATTTCCGAATAGTGTATGTGTTCATTTTTACAGTCATTCTGCAGTAGTACTTAAACTAATATTGTGTTATTGTTTGTATTGTTTTCAATAGATATGGTGCACCTCGATATTTTCCCAAAAAAACTTGTTTCTCTTAACCTTGTTTCTCCAAATATTCAATGGGTTGTTATAAAGGTGGTAGATGTTGGCAACGACTTTAAAAACAAACAAGAGTTTGAATATCGTGATCAAATGCTCGAATGGATTCATATGAAGGCCTCTAAACTTGGATTTGGTGTGGTTATCAGATGGTTCGAGAGAAATGGAAAATATCAAACTCCTCTACAAAATTTTAAAAGAGACGACACATGTAGTAGAAATGTGAGTGTTTGTTTAAGGTTTGTGGTTACATGTTGGAAAATAAAAACTAGAGATTAATGTGATATGTGGTTTGCTTAACCATGATTTATGTTTAAAATTAGTCAGTCATCCTAGTGTTTGTCAGCTCAAGTCAGAAGAAAATAGTATATCAAATATCAAGCAAGTGTATAACATTTGAGATCTCACTAACAAGGCGATTAACGGGGATAGAACTGAGATGCAACAACTCTTAAAACTGTTAGATGATAACAATTACGTGTTCCGGTACCGAACGTGCGATGATGGAGTCATGGTTAGATATATTTTTTTTACTCATGCTAATTTCATAAAGTTGCTCAACACGTTCTCTATTGTGCTTATACTTGATTCAATCTACAAGACCAACAAGTATAAACTTATATTATTTGAGATGATTGGTGTTACCTCAACTGAAAAGATATATTATATTAGTTTTACATTTCTGAAGTGTGAATAAAGAGGACAATTCTATATGGGCATTAGAGGTGTGTCAGTCACTTTTGAAGTTCCAAGGTGAGATGCCTAAAACGATTGTTATCGACCACGATATTGCATTGATGAATTCGGTTGCAAAGGTATTTCCATCTTCTAATGCATTACTTTGTAAGTATCACATAACAAAGATTGTGAGAAGTCACGTTAAACCCGTGATAGGGATAAAATAAATAGAGTCTGAAAGGGGAAATTGGTGGAGGCAGATGTGATTGTGGAAAGAATTATGGATGCATGGAATCGTATAATAAATTCCTCCACAAAAGAACTATATGCTTATTTTGTTATTCATTTTCGAAAAATGTGTGAAAGGTATCCAGATTTGTTGAAGTATGTTGAAACCATAATTCTTAATCAGGTGAAGGAGTAGATAGTTTGTGCATGGACTGATAAAGTTAGACACATTGTAAATACAACTACTAACATAGTTGAGTCAGCTCATGCTACTTTGAAACATTGGTTGGAAAATAGTAAAATGGATTTGTGTAGAGACTGGGTCTCCGTGAACCACTTGATTCAAAACCAGCATAATGAGATACAAATAACATTTGGTTGGAGCATCACGGTTTTGGAACACAGATTTAAAGACAACATTTTGTATTCTCAGTTGGTCGGTAACATTTCTCGGTCAGGTTTGAACTATATTTTTTCACGAGGCTAAGGGAGCTGATAATATAGGCTCTGATATCGCAAAGCTTGATTGCACTATTGTGAAAACATATGGTCTCTCATATGCTTGTATTGTTGCTCAAAAGGTGAAACTTGGTGAACTAATACGAATGGACGAGGTTTGCTCTCATTGGAATAATCTTAGGTTCAACGATGATGAATGCATGGATGAAGGAAAATCGAATATCTCTATTTGGATCGAATGGGAAGTGATACAATAGATATTTTTGAAGGCCGATGACAACATGAAATTACACATCAAAGAACAATTGAGGAAGATTGCATATCCCAAAACCACCAACATGAAACTGCATTCTCAACCGATAAAAACAAAAGGTACTCCAAAGAAAATGAAGTCCACATCAAAAGACAACTCAACTACACATTCTTCTTCATAGTTTGAACACGCAAGCAAAGTTTTTCCCGACTCCCCGACACCAAAATCTCAAAAAGGTGTTGTGAAAGGAACCTGCATTAGCAAACCACCTCTGACGTTACTTCCATCAAAGATTCCATTCATCAACGAGATGTCGATTTTTATACACAAATATATTGAGTGGATTGTCAGTGTTGTGAGAGACGGTAATTATGGTTACCGAGTTGTTTCAACTTTACTTAGTAAAAGAGAAAATAATCATGCACTTGTCTGACATTAACTTATCTAAGAGTTGAAGACAAATAAAGAATCGTACATGCAATTGTACGTAAATAAAGAAAATTTGAATGCGGTGTATGAGTCTTTTATTCCTTGCTTGAGCGGTCTGGCACCAGAGTCAAAATGGATGAGCTTCCCAAAAATGGGTCACCTAATAGCTTGTGTATATGATAGAATGTGTATTGACTTGACACGCAACGGTTTTTCATAAACCTTTTTTCCCATTGCACATTGTCCCACCCTAAAACCCAAATTATTGTATCATGTGTATTGGAAGGCTTTCAAAATCAAGTTAATTTTTCAAGTTTACTTGAAACCGGGATGCCCTATACCACTCACATCACCAGGGTGGACGACTCTTTCAACTGCAAAAGCTGAGATGAGTTAGAATCATTTTATGGAAATGATTTAAGAATTCGAGAGATTAAACAACATTGAAAAATAATCGAATGCACAAAAGTACAATGGGGTATTACCTATAGATTTAGTCGGCGACACATGTTTCAATTCGTTTTAATTTCTTGTTTAACCAAACAAATAATTGTATGTAATTGTGTCTCTATATAAATGAATCGTTATATATTCACCTTTTGTTCATATTTTATATTTATGCATTTTTAATCTACCCCATAGCAACATGTGAGTTTTTGTTCAATGGAAAAAAATAGGTTATGTTTGTATTCTGTTTTGAAACTGGTTCAGTAGAAGTTTCAAAAAAGACAGAAGAGTCGCCACCGTATGTTATTTATCCCGACAAAGGGAAAGGAAACAATCGAAGAAAATATCAAAGAAGGGAGAATACATGGTCTTCGCAACCAAATCTGAGATTCGAAAGTCGAATTAAATTGTGTGTTATCTAAAGTCTACTGCTAAACAAAAACGAAAAAAGAAAAAAAAGAAAAAAGAGACTCGACAAGACTTCACCTCCTTATGCCTACGTATTTCCTCGTGCAATGGGAAAGTCAGAGTTAACATAGTTTAGAATACTATAGGTGAAAGAGGGAAGGTTTCTCGCCAAGACATCACCAATTGTGCCTATGTATCCTCATCTGAAATGAGAAATCAGAGCAATCGTAGTTCGGCTCACCACAGGTTGCTTAGTGTTTTTTATGAGCGATGTTAAGTTCTCATTCCAGCAGTTAGGGTCGATGTCTGTTTGCGGTAGAATGGAAAAATAACGTACCCTTTCTGAAAATGGTTTGACAAACGATCTCGAAGGATGAAAATGATTTGTATTTGTTTTTTATTTTTAGAGAGGAGAATTGACTTTATTTGGAATATGCACTGCACTAAAGTCTATTAAATAGGATCGAATATTTCACGCTAACAATCCAAGCGTCTCGCACAAAAAGTATCCTAAGATGAGGTTAGAAATTCATTCGCTCACATTTTCCCATGTACTTAAGGCTCATGGCGTACAATGCACGTTATTTTTATTAAGTGTTTTGGTCTATGGGGAAAACTCGGCCCTAACGTTATCACGCAAAATGGTCCTAAAGTCGGGATACAAAAGGAACTTTTATCCTAATGTTAGCATGCAAAAGGTGGACCTAAGGTTGAAGTTAAAAGGACTAACCCAATGTTATCATGCATGGATTAACTCCTAATGTATATCCTAGTCAAAGCTTAATCGGAAATTAAGTTGGACTAGGAGGCCCTAATGGAGTATGCAAAAGCAAACTAAAACGGAGACAACAAAACAAAAACAGCAGTTACAACAACGTTTCAGCTTCAAAATTATAATAAAAACCCAGTAACTAAGCACAACAACATTAACAACTCATGTTTCAGCACCTAACACGTGTAAAAAGCAGCGGGCAGAATAGATGCATATTTAACAGCATGCTAAAATTCAGAACAACAGGTGTAAAAAAGCCAGGCAGCAAGCAGACACCAACAATGAAGCAACACATCAAACAAGCAATGATCATAAACAAGCATGCATAACAAGCTAAACCAATCACCAAGGTTGTA